TCTACTGTTGATATTTGTTTTTCCAAATTAAATGTTAAATATTCTAACCGAGTACATATTAGTGTGGATTATACATAATTGAAGAGCTAAATCTATCTATTGCAGGTCTTTCTTTAGGCCTGAAATGTTATCTAAATTATTAATTAGACATTAATAAACTTATCCAGACCATTATCAACTCTCGATGCTAATATTCATTTTGCATTATCTATTTTTGAAATATTATAACGAGAAGGGCCATCTCTTTGATCTAAATCATACATAATGGCCCTTTAAGCAATGAAACATCTTATACTCACTTTTTTGTAAAAAAATGCAAAAGAAGTTGATTGGCTTTTACAATTATTTAGAAAATGTATTCTTATCAATTTAAATGACTTTTTCATTCAGAAACTGCTGTATAATGTAGAAATCATAGGCCATGTAATATTACTTGAATGTAATATTGTACTCAGTACAGTATTTGAGGCCTGGCGAGGGTGACATAAATTTTATAATATCCATCATACTTTATTTTTTAGTTGTGCGTTGGGGTTTGACTGGACTAAATAGATATACAATAAATTTTATAATATTAGCTGTGTCATCATAACATTATTTTTTACTGTTGCGCACTTGATAGTATAAATATGTGTTTACGGTATATACTTACATCATAGACTGGATCTATTTACAACAATTGAAGCGTTTTCACTCATTTGAGGTTACTTAAAAAAACGTTCTATAACCACATATAGTAAAAGATAATCATTTTGTGGGGTTTAACGACAAATATATGTTTTTCTATTCAAAAGTTATTAAAACAATTTATGTCGAAAATGAGAAGGCTATTTCCGGTTACACGTCATCACTATTATAGAGCCATGTGTTAGGTCGTGTATACTCTTCACATACATAATCTGATAATTTTATGGTTATAATTAATACAGATTGTATTTTAACCTTAAATTAAGTTGTAATAATATACAAAATTGCTATGGATAGATCTATATCAGAGAATAAAGTGACAGCCCATAAAGTGGATGAAATGGTTCATCAACACGAAAACTGTGCTGATGAAAATCAAGAAACCAGTGCTGATGAAAATCAAGAAACCAGTGCTGGTGAAAATCAAGAAACCAGTGCTGGTGAAAATCAAGAAACCAGTGCTGGTGAAAATCAAGAAACATCCAGTACATATCTTCCCAATAATTCTTATATTCCATTAGCATCGACTATATCTTTCAATCAGACTACCAATTCCACAAGCAGTTTGAAAACAGCGACCCCCCAGACCCATTTACTGACAAGGTCTGACTCATTAACTTGTCAGTCTCCAGAAGATGAACAGTCGATAAATAATAAAAGATTGACCCCCACAGCTCCACCTGTTGAAGATGGGTTAATCAATACAAGTTCAAGTCATTCCATTTCACTGGAGAGACAAGAATTATTGAAAATAGTGGAAACGATGAAAGAAAAAACGACAGATTATTATAGGAAATTTGGTCTTGAAGAATCACAATTAAATATTATTCTTAATAATAATCCACGCCTGAAGAAACATTTCAAGAACTTTGTTTTCACAGAAGAATTAGCACGTGAATTGCCTCTTTATCCAGTTGGTGTTCACTTTGTGTCTAATAAAAACGAGAAAGAATTGGGTGAAATGCTTCATTGTACAATGCTAATTGTTTTCACTCAGCAGGATAAACGAAAATATTTGTACTTTGATTCTAATGGATAGGTTCCTCCGAGCTTGTTTTTTTGGGTTGAAGAATGGAATCAGTTAAAACTGCAGAAACCAGGAAACAATACATGTGCATTGTATTGTCTGTTGCTTTTTGACAAATGGATTAGCTATCTAGAAGGGCCTGATTCAAATCTGAAAACGTTCTTAATGAGAAGTCTTTTGGAAAATGAAGATCTTAATAAAGATGCCATTGACTGTTTGAAGAATGTTCTTTTGCAGCAACCCAAAAACAATACATACGCCTTGTATGCACTGATTTTATTTGACCAATTAATTATGTATCTAAAAGACTCTGATTTAGACATGTCAACATTCTCAATGACAACTTTCTTAGAAAATGTAGATCTTGATAAAGTTGTTATTGAATACTTTAAAAATAAAATATTGCCTGAGGTAATAAAATCTTTGACAGAACGTAAATAAAAAATTATTTTTTGATTATGTACATGATGCATCTTCAACATTCTAAAAATAATCTTCGATTTTGATTATGTACATAATGTATCTTTAACATTCTAAAAATAATCTTCGATTTTGATTATGTACATAATGCATCTTTAACATTCTAAAGTATTATAGAAAGTTTTGGATTACAAAGAAAAATGTATACTATCAATGTTACAAGTTACAATGGATCCAAACATCTTTCTGATACATCATATTCTTTATTCTTGTACTTTTTTTTATGTTTAATATGTAATAAACTGTATTCTTTTGATTTTAAACATAAAAATCTTATCTGCTGATTTTTTGTCCCCCGCCAGGGGACTATCGAAATGGGTTCGTCCATCTGTCTGTCTGTCTGTCTATCCGTCTGTCTGTCTGTCCGTCACACTTTTTGGGACACAATAACTCTCCGTCTAATTGAACTAGAATGTTCAAACTTGGTGTAGGTGTTTATTAGGTCGATGCCTTGATGGAGTTCGAAGATGAGCATTTTCTGCTTAGGGTAAGCAGAGATAAGCAATTTGATTGGTTGATGCTTTGGGACATAATAACTTTAGTTCTAATTAAGTGAGAGTGATGAAAGTTGGTGTATAGTTCCATTACATCAATACATTGACTAAGTTCGATAATGAACATTTTCTGCTCGGGGTAAGCAGCGCGATAAGCAATTTGATTGACTGAGACTTTGGAACACAATAACTCTGCTTCTAATTGAGTTAGAATGTTTAAACTTGGTGTAGATGTTCGTTAGGTGAATGTCTTGACTGAGTTCATTTATAAACATTTCAAGCTAAAGCTAAGCAGAGCTAATCAATTTCATTGGTCGATGCTTTGGGACAAGATAACTTTGATTCTATCTGATAGAGAGTGATGAAATTTAGTGTATGGTTGACAATCAGTTTGATTGCTGAATACTTTTGAAAAAGTTAAATGTGTGATTAATTAATGTGTCATCTACTTATTTTGGGATTTCGGTGGGGGACATCAGCCTCACTGTTGGCTTGTTGGTTTTCATTTCTATTCATCCTTGGCAATAAATGTGTATTGAGTTATTTCTTTTAGGGACAGTTAGATGAGACGATCAGTTTATTAATGGTCACACCAGCAGATCGATGTTGATGATTAAATTTAAAGAAGCAAGCTATGTTTTTGTCCCATGTCATATATATGTCTTAAAGCCCAAATAGCGCATGCTCCTCGCAGTATTTCGTTTGATTAGAGCTAATCCCACTTAACACTGCTGTAAAGGAAGCAAATTTCTGTTCCAAATTATGACTGGTCAATAGTCCGATTAACAATCAATAACTAAGTGCGTAACAAAATCATTATGCTTTAAACAGAGCTCCAATTTTATTATGCCCAATTAACCAGTGCATAGCAGAATATTGCAGAAAAACTAATTGCGTGACAAACGAGGCTATGAACATGGGTACAATGTAAATAATGCTGTTCGGAGACGAACATACCTTTTTAATACCTTAAATCACTGTCCAAAGTTTTAGGGAAGGGCTGGCAAGTTGCTGTACTTGGGATAGATTTGATTGAACAGGAAGAATAGACACACTCCCTCAAAAGCTCAAGTATCAGAAGCCAATCCAGCAATGGCTAGAGAGGGATTTCTCGGGCCATTGCTTTAGGAATATGAAATAGTGCTGTTCAGGCATTTGATACAATCTTCTTTGTTTTCGGAATATTGTAGTTGAGTTGAGAATAATAACCCTGTCATTATATGCATCAATTTAAGTCAGAAATAATCTGATAGACTGAAATAAATCAAATAAATTCAATAAAATGTACAGTAACTTAAATTTGGTTTATCGAATGTTGCTGCTGTGGCGAAAGCCCGAATGGAGGAGGATGAGCCCTAATGTATCGGTGTAGGACATTAAACCCCTCTTCTTTCAATTTGCCTTCAAGGGATATGTGGGGACATGTCTCATGCAGAAAATTTATAAATTTTAGAACGTTGCAAACAAGTTTTCCTGCTATTCCTGCTCCTCAAGATCGTGAGTAGAGCATCAAGAAAGTAGTCCAACTCCAATATAGCCTTATTTGTGTGGCTAAGGAACTGAAATCCCACTCTACCCACCTGAATTCTTGATTTTGTAAGAAAGGGGAGCAGAAATAAAAGAGCCGAAGAAATTCCCGCTCATATTCCACCGAGTCAATGATGCCGGAGTTGGTCACCTGTTCAGGTGTATATCTCCCTAGGGAAATTTATGCAATATAGACGGGCTCCAGCGCATTTTCTGCAGCAGTCCTATGTAGCTCATCTGAACCACAATCAATCTATCAGACTTTTGTCGTTGCATTCACATTAAGACAGGAATTTAATGGAAACATAATCAACGTTGCCCACAGTCCCTTCACCTGTCCCACTTTGATGGGTCAAGTGATGATTTCTTAGTAAACCTGTGAAGAAATGAATGATGATTTGGTAAATTGGAAAAAATGGTGTTTATTATGGAAGGTGAAAGATGGCGACAACACAAATTCACTTCCAACCCCCAAGAGCTCAAAGCCTACCCGAGATGGCATATTCAAATCAAAATAAAATCAATATGCCTTTCGACATATGCCATGATCTCTAAACTTTGTTGACGGCTTGCAATTCAGGCTCTAGATAAATTACGTATATGAGTAATTATTAGTGTAAAAAAAAAAAACAATTTGTGTTCCTGCCAGCTAGGATAAAAAAAAATATTTTGTATGAAAAGAATGATAATTTCCATTCGCAACAGGTCTGGGTGAAAAGTTATATTAGTGCCAGCTTGGATGTCTTATGACAGCTTATTATATACAAATTCTATATATATTTCAGTATTTGCTGTTGAACCAGAGGGTAAGATATTGGAGAAATGTCTGACGTCTGGGGAAAGACTGTGGCCAAATCCACCTCAATATCTCGACACCATAGCTGATGGTATTAGGCTACAACAAGTCGGCCATCTTACATGGCCTATTTTATTGGAACTTGTGGAGAAGGAAGTATTTACAGTGGTGAGTTACCATACAACAGTTACCCCAGATATATTGGAGAGAATTGAACATATCTCTTAAAGCAAGAATTTCATATTATCTAGGAAAATGAAAAGATAAATATTTCTATGTCTGTTGCTCAATAGGTTGTCAACTCACTATTATACGATCATAGATGTCATTCTCACACTTAAAACTCATTTACATCGGAAATAATAACACAATTACCTCCCTTGTTTTTCTATTCCCCCCCCCCCCCCCATGGAATAGCTATCTTCAAACGTTTGAATTTGAAGTTGAAAATGATATTTTTGCCAATTTCTCAACTGGCAATAGTGAATTATAGGATTAATAGGACTATTCTTTAACAAGGTAGGATCATTTATAGATAACATCTATTTTAAGGCTTTATTTTAATACATTTTAAAAATATAACTTAAAAATATGAAATTATCGTTTTAAAAGATACATGTCTCTACTAGCGTCATTTTGACGTATATCTGGGGTAACACTAGGTCACTTTGCTAAAACACAGAAACTGAGATTTAACACAGCATATGACATATCAAATACATGTACTACGTTTTAGTTTTACTGTAGTAATAATAATCAAATGTACACGATTTTAACAGAAACTTGTAAGCAAGCAAACAAATACACAAATGGAAAAACAAAAACTGTGACCATCAGACGCCAAAATAGCAAAATATTCTACCCACACCACTAGGTACCCACATTCAGAAAAGTCTTCGGTTTTCTTCTGCTTGATGATCTGAGATCAAGTAACAATTCTTTTTTCTTTATTAATTTATATCAAAATATTGTTTATAAAACGTGACTTGGTATATCTCCGAGAACCCTCTACACTCCTAGAAAAGTGCCCCACCCTCACAGGCCCTGATAGTGACCAGCCTGTTTTAGATAGTAATTATAATGTGTCATGGTTAATATAAATCAGGGTAGAAGCTAATTAGAATTATTTAATCTGTTATTGTTTATTTATGTTAATGTCTCTAGTGATAATCCTGTATAGATATGTTTTGAGCTTATCCATTAATTAAAGATACATTAGTTAAGAGTTTAATAAAGAGTTGGTCATTCTTGCTATAATAATTCTAAAATAGATAATAAAAAAAGAAAATATTGAAAATTTCATTTAAATTACTTCATTCTCAGCCAAGTTATCATTGTTTGTAATTTTGACAAGATGTGTGCACAGTGGTAACCAGGGCACTGGTATAATCGGGACTTAGCCTCGCTTTCCCATTTTTAAATTAAATTTTTAAATGGCGAACCGTTTTAATCTAGTTAAAATCTTGAGTATCTGATGCCATCGCGAGTCGATTATGGTCTTGTTTTGTTAATAAATGTCTAATTAATAGTTTATATAACATTTCAGGCCTTAAGAAAGACCTGCAATAGGCAGATTTAGCTCTTGCATAATGTATGTTTAATAAAAAGAATATAAAAAGTCTAATAGGGAACTGTGATATCACTTCTGTGAAAGTGGATGTTAAAAAAACTATTTCACACACTCATAGGCAACTCATTGGGGCACCCAACATGGTAGCAGCTATGTAGATCACCCACTATGCTGTAAGTGTGAGGTACATTGTATGTTTGGATTGCCGAATGGGGTTAGCACGAATGGGGTTAGCACGTGCACGCTGTATCATAAGGTCTGTCATTAAGTCAACTGGCGTGGTTTCGATTCCCCGGTTGTACTTGACAAGGATTAGGGTCATCTGTCCAGCCTCGTGGGTTTTCTCCGGGTCCTCTGGTTTCCTCAGAAAAATCTGATTAAAACACATATCCTATTTTGTTTTGTTTTTTATAGTTCAAAATTTCGTTTTACTTGTCTTCATGTAGTGTAAAGTATAAAAAAACAAAAGGAAATTTACATCTGTATTTTGATCAGATTGATACTGGAGTCAAAGATATCACAATTTTTTCTTAAATTCCATTCATATTGTTCTTATGGAGGATATATTGCCCTACTCATATTAAAATTTCCAACTGGGAATTAATTTTTATACGCCCACATTTTCATGTGGACGTATATTGTCGTCGCCCCTGTCCGTCCGGACGTCCGTATGTCTGAAACTTGAAATATAGGTTTATCGCCAAAAGATCTCGGCTGCTTTCGATATTGGCATGTATCGGATTGAAAATTCATGGATTATGACCCCTGTTTGTACGAAAAATCACGTTTTTAGCTTGTGGACCCTATAGAGGTCACAATTTTTATCCGATTTTGTTGAAACTTGAAATGTTAGTTTATAACCCAAAGATCTCGGTTCCTTTCGATATTTGCGCATATCGGACCCTAACTTCCTGAATTATGGCCCCAGATTGTACGCAAAATCGCGTTATTAGCTTGTGTACTCTATAGAGGTCATAATTTTTATCCGATTTAAAAAAATGTATTATTATATCACCGTTACATCCTAAGGACGGCTGAGTTCGAATTTCGTGAATTGACAGACAAAATGGCCGCCCTTCGGTCTCAAATAGCGTAAAAATATGGTATATCAAGGTTGTGGACCCTATAAAGATCACAATTTTTATCTGATTTTGCTGAAACTTGAAATGTAAGTTTATAAACCAAAGATCTCGGTTCCTTTCGATATTCGCGCATATCGGACTGTAACTTCCTGAATTATGGCCCCTGATTGTACAAAAAATCATGTTTTTAGCTTGTGGACCCTATAGAGGTCATAATTTTTATCCGATTTAAAAAGCCGTATTATTATATCACCGTTACACCCTAAGGATTGCTGAGTTCGAATTTCGTGTAAATCGGCCCAAAATTGACAGACAAAATGGATGCAGTTCGTTCTCAAATAGCGTAAAAATATGGTATATCAAGGTTGTGGACCCTATAGAGGTCACAATTTTTATCCGATTTTGTTGAAACTTGAAATATAAGTTTATAACACAAAGATCTTGGTTCCTCTCGATATTTGCACATATCGAATTGTAATTTCCTGAATTATGGCCCTTGATTGTAGGAAAAATCACTTTCTTTTTAGCTTGTTCTATATCCATCTCTCGAAAATGTGGGCGTATCCTGCCTGGCAGCCGCTGGTTTATGTACTTACACATTTTAATGTCCCATCTAAACAACTAGATGTTTTTCCTTGCCTGACACTCCACCCTGCACAACTAACACAGGAAACCAGGCTGGAAAACCACAAGGATCTTTCTCTGCCAACATCATTTCGAATCTAGGATCGCTTGATTAGTGGCTTCTGTCAACCAAAACATATGCTTTAGGTTATAATAATCTAGGAATAAAGACGCTCATTTGGCAGGTCAGAGGGTATCATGCATTAATGTATATTTAAATGTATGTAGATTTGTTATTTGTTGATATAAAGAATTTCACTACCACAGGTGTTGTAAATTGACTAATTTATGTTTTTCAGAATAATGAAGAAATAAAAGCTGCTATGAAATTTGTTTTTCAAAGATTGAAGGTACTGGTAATAAAATACTTTTCAAATAGATCATATTTAGCTAAATGTATCTTTCTTTTCATTATTTTTTCTCTATTTTTGGCAACGATAACCAGAAATATATGTTCAACAAATATGTTAAAACCAGAAATATATGTTCAACAAATATATTAAGATACATTCCCGCTACAAACTGGGTGATTTGATTTGGACTAAAAACATATTCAAACTAATTAATTGATCATAATTGTTTCAAATCCTTCTCAGACAACCAACTCAGGGGATATATACTGAGCGCCATGGAAAACGCATCACTTAGTTTTTCGTATAACAAAATGATCCTGTAAACATATCTTATTTATTTTGCTTCTTATTGTGAACAATATTCAAATGGGAACACATCAATAACAACACATTTGTACACTTATGGATGTTTAATCTGTAATCAAGGGTACAAAGTCGGCGGGGTCAAAACCAAAAGTACGACACAAATGTCAGTAGCGCGTGTGTCCTCCATGGGCCATCATCACGGTAGGCTACAGCATTAACGCGACCCCTGCAAATGTGTAGGGCTGTCCGGTGATGAAATGTGAAGCCTCCCCACACCATTACACTTCCCCCACCCCATCGATTCGTTTCGAAGACGCAGCAGTCTGCAAGACGTTCCCCAAGACGTCTCCACACACGTTGACGGCCATCAGCGTGATAAAGATGAAAGCGACTCATCACTGAAGAGCACACTTTGCCAGTCTACTCTTCTCCATGTCTGGTGTCCTTGAGCCCATATCAAACGCCGCTGACGGTGATGATCCCTGAGGATAGCTCCAACATAAGGTCGTCGTGCACGGAGTCCTACTTCTCTTAGACGACGTCTTACAGTGTTGGCACTTACTGGTCCTTGTCTTCCGACGACTGCTGAACATGTTCGAGTCACTGGGCGGAATCTGTCACGCAGATGAGTGACCCAGATGTAGCGGTCTTGAGCCTGGGTTGTAACGCGTTGTGGACCAGGACGTTGACGGTCACGTGTTGATTAAGTAACTCGAACACGTTTCACCAACCTTACAATAGTGGACTGATGACAATTGAAGTGTCTGGCAATAGCATGTGTAGACATGCCAGCCCTGGACATTACCATGGCTTCATTCCGTTGATTTTCAGTAAGTCTCGGCATCTCTAGCTCGATTCCTTCACACGTCCAACAACAAATTACGACAGATTGACGTTTCACAGTTCATGTACTGCACATTAAGTTGAAAACAAGCTTTTAAAGGGCTCACACACGTGAATATTGGGTTTTTCATGTGCATCTCGTGCAATTTTTTTTTTTGTGCACACGGGCCGATCTTTTTTGCGTTTGGGAGCATTGTGTGAAACAATAGTTCATAATATTGCATAATATTATACATACAAAACCACCTAGTAATGCGTTTTCCATGGCGCTCATTATATTTGTTAATGACAACCAACCCAGGGGGATATATTTGTTAATGACAACCTGCCCAGGGGAATATATTTGTTAATTTCAACCAACCCAATGGGATATATTTGTTAATGACAACCAACCCAGGGCCCAGGGGAAGATATTTGTTAATTTCAACCAACCCAATGGGATATATTTGTTAATGACAACCAATTCAGGGGGATATATTTGTTAATTTCAACCAACCCAATGGGATATATTTGTTAATGACAACCAATTCAGGGGGATATATTTGTTAATTTCAACCAATTCAATGGGATATATTTGTTAATTTCAACCAATTCAATGGGATATATTTGTTAATGACAACCAACCCAATGGGATATATTTGTTAATTTCAACCAATTCAATGGGATATATTTGTTAATGACAACCAACACAGGGTATATATTTGTTAATGACAACTAACCCAATGGAATATATTTGTAGCTTACATAGTTTGTATTTTCTGGTTGATTATAACAGGCAATTAGCATTGTTCTGGACTTCAAACGTGTTTAGTTACTTCTTGGGATATTAATCCTGTAAATCTCCAGATAGTTTTAATGTACTGTTTAATGTACTGTGTATTATTTTGTATCAAATTTAGTTGTGGGGTAATATAGCTTTAAGCACAATTTATTGTCTTTTATTTTGTATTTCAGTTCGTTGCAGGGTAGTTTAACTTTAATCATCATGTCAGGTGTTTTATTTTGTATTTCAGTTGGTTGTGGAAGCAGCCAGTGGAGCAGGTGTAGCCGCTGTTTTCTCGGATCGGTTTAAAACATTAGACAGTTCCATTAAAAATATTGGGGTAATATTGTGTGGGGGGAATGTGGATATTGATCATTTACCTTGGTATTAATACATGTATACTCATAGTCAATGGGGAGAGAGAATTACTAGTCTGAATCCGTATGGATTTACAAATTAACTCCCTTTATATTGATGCACTGAATCATATGTACTGATTCAGCTATTTTATATTACCTCCAAATTATCAGCCAATGATTGCAATTATTATACAAAAATTTGTTGGTTCTATTGATTAAACATTACATGCCAATTAAAAATTCAACCATAGCTAATCTTGTAAGTTGCATGTGCTATATTAAGTTAAGAAAAAAAATTATTTATCTTAATGAGACTTTGTTACACTTTTGATTTGATATTTGGGGTAAAATTAATTATTGACAATTAAAGCATGTTATGCAGGTCTTTTTTCAACATTGAATTATTATTATTATCATGTGCAATGTTCCGTTTGGAATGATCAATAGCATGGCACATAGATACATAAGTCTTCTGATTATATAGCAAACCCAGGAAGTTTCCCACAACTTATTTTTATTGAGCATAAACAATACCATTCATTGTTATTGTGAATAAAAAAACACATCTATTTGAATTGTGACTAAAAAAAACACATCTATTTGAATTGTGACTAAAGAATACCATTCATTGTTATTGTGTCTAAAGAACACCACTCATTGTTATTGTTCATAAGCAATACCAGTCATTGTTATTGTGCATAAAGAATATCATTCATTGTTATTGTGAATAAAAAATACAACTATGTTATTGTGCATAAAGAAAACAATTCATTGTTATTGTGCATAAAGAGTACCATTCATTGTTATTGTTCATAAGGAATACCACTCATTGTTATTTGTTTATAAGGAATACCATTCATTGCTATTGTGAATAAAAACTACAACTATTTGTTATTGTGCATAAGGAATATCACCCATTGTTATTGTGCACAAAGAATACCACTCTTTGTTATTGTTCATAAAGAATACCACTCATTGTTATTCTGCATAAAGAATACCACTCTTTGTTATTGTTCATAAAGAATACCAATTATTGTTCATAATATAACATATTATACATAAAGAATACCACTCATTTTTCTGGTTTTGCACACCATAATTAAATCCACTTATTTGTGTCATGTGTAAATGAATACTCAAGGTTTTTTTTGTAGATAAAGAAGTTTGATTGGATATTTCATTGATAATACCTCTTTGGTAATATGCATAACTTAAACTTACTTATGGTAACTATGTGGTAATATGTATAATTTGAATTATATATGGTAACTCTTTGGTAATAAGATCATTGATATATGGAAACTCTTTGATAAAATGTAAAAGTTAAGTTACATAATGGTCATTCTTTAGTAATTTTATAATACTAGAACACTTATTATGGATACAATCACTTGGTTTATTGTACTGCAACGTTTCAACAAGATTTCACAAGTCGTTTTCAAGCAAATACCCAATGTACAAATCATGGATGAAATACATATATATGTACAATCAACAATATCACTAATTAATGAGCTATATAGACAGGTGACAAAGATAATTTTAATGTTTTTTATAAGAATATAAGTCTACTTGGGGTAAGTTTTTGATGTTATTGTAATGATATAAGAACGTTAGGTTAACTCAGAGTGACATTATAATCATTATAATCATATCATATTAGGTTTAGTAATAAAGTTTTAAACAATTTAAACGTCCAGTAATTTGAATATGTGGTGTCTTAATTTTTGGAAAATTTATTATTTGATTCCATTTTTTTTTTAGTAAGTTTAATAATACAAAGGTTACCAATCATAACAAATACATTATTGTTTGTGTTGGTCACCGTAACTGAAAGCTGCAATTTCATATTTTTTAGTTATATTTTTAAAATTTATTAAAATAAAGCCTTAAAATAGATGGTATCTATAAACAGTCCTACCTTGTTAAAGAATAATCCTATAATTCACTATTGCCAGTTGAGAAATTGGCAAGAATATCATTTTCAACTCTAAATTCAAACGTTTGAAGATAGCTATTCCATGGGGGGAATAGAAAAACAAGGAAGGTAATTGTGTTATTATTTCCGGGGTCAAAGGGTTTTTAAGAGGGAGAATAATACCTATAATCGTATAATAGTGAGTTGACAACCTATTGAGCAAAAGACACAGAAATAATTATGTTTTGACTTTCTCAGAAAATATGAAATTATCGCTTTAAATGATCTGATCGTAGGGACGGGGTGTGTCGGCGTATCTGGATGGACTCATGAATTTTCCTCGTTGTGTTGTCATGCTGGTGTATTCTGTACGTTTTTACCTTCGACCAATTAACTTTGTGGTGACGATTGGTTAGGAGATGGGTGGCAACAGCCGAGTCACTGTTGGAGGGTGTAGGTTTGTGTTGGTCCACCCGTTTGTTTAGAGGGACTCGAGTTTCCCCTATGTATGACGCACCGCAGCTACAGTGGATATGGTAAACACAGCCTTTGGGTTGATGGGATGTGGTTGGGTTCAACTTTCCATTTGTTTTTAGGATGTCCTTGGTGCTTGACCCTTTGATGTAGTTTACTCCAATCCCTGGATGCTGGTGTAATATTCTCCTTATTTGGTATGATACCTTGCCGTTGAATGGGATTGATATAGGTACAGGTTCTTTTGGTAATTTTGTGGTAATGCATATAATTTGAATATATGGTAACTCTTTGGTAATACATAAAATCTGACTATTTATGGTAACTCTTTGGTAATAATATGTATTAACTTACAGTTGGTAATTTTTTGATAAAATGTAAAAGTTAAGTTATTTATATGTTAATTAATGTTAAATAAATTGGTAGTCTGTATGAGTTGAAGCATTTGTGGTGGCTTTTTTGGTAATGTTTTAAAGTTAAATTATATATGAAAATTTCAGATGCTCACAAGGTTGATATTTCTACTAAGGTATTTCTGTGTTTAACATGGTCAAGAAGTAATAAATATTGTTCATTTTGATTTATACTCTAGGGTTTAGTATTCTTGTGTTATTTATCTTGTTGATTTGTGAAGATTTTATCATTTTATATTTGTAATGATTTTTATTTGTTATTATATTGTTTACATTTTTACACTAATTCTGTATATACATTTATGTCCCCATTTGTATTTATATATAAAACCCCAAGATTTGACTACAGGCAGTAATTGATAAACTTGAATAAATTTATATTTAAAATCATGTGTAATGTTTTAGGTTTGTCTTATGTGTATAAGACATACCAACCCTCAATAGAAATGCACAGGTACATGGGGACAGGCACACCCTTATGTTATGATGCACCTATGTGATTCTTTCAAAATATTTTTATGATTTTCGGGGGTTTCTTAATATTTTTCAAATTTTTTAATCAGTTTTATTTTTCTTCCTATTTGGTACTAAATAATATAATATTTACTATCAAACATATTCGTACTAAAAATCATACCTTCTGATGCATCTAATAAAAGAGAAGATACATCAGAAGGTATGATTTTTAGTACGAATATGTTTGATAGTAAAATATTATATTATTTAGTACCAAATAGGAAGAAGATTAAAAATTTTGAAAAATATGAAGAAAAAAAAACAAAATCAAAAATTTTGAAAAAATGACATACGTAAGAAAGGCGTTCCTGTCCTCATGTACCTGTGTAGAAATGGAATCAAATGGGGTTTGACGTCTTGCTTTTCTTTACCAACCGGGGAAAGTGAAGAAAAGAAAAGAAAATCTTTTGAACTACAATACGGAATACAGGTGTTGAAATTTGTCATAGTCATTTAGGAAGTGGATGGAGATGACATCAATCATCCTCGTCAATGGCTTAGCCACACAAACCATCTGACAATGTGGCCACAACGATAGACCCGTGTTTACTGGTCATATTATACGATCATCCTTTTCACGGGCTATTATTCATTGGACTTCATATGACCTTACATTCTGTTTTAATATGGACTTCACGTTGTGTTACTGTGGAACCTTGTATTCTTCTCAACTATGCTTATATGGATTTTACTATGAACTCCACTTTGTGTTAAAGTAGCTAAGTCACTAACTCAATATCATCTGAAGTCTTCGACATTGAAAACAAGAATTATTTGTCAATTCAAATCAACATTGATGTTGTGATCTTACCGGGAAACGATGGGCTTCTGATATCCAACATTTAAGACAAAATAAACATTTTACCATTGATACACGAATCGTGTACTATAATGCGTTGCAGTCCCATTTGCTAAAGTCCCCTACGCGCAAGCGAATTATTGATATAAAATTAAACCATATGTTAGTCCCAAAATTACCTAGTTTGTGTTGAGTGGACGCTAAACTCTATTTCTCTCCCTCTGACATAATCGCCCTTATTGTTAAATTTGTTTGACGTTCTAATTCATGACGTCAACTGGCAGATTATCGCCATTGAGGAGACGACCACTGTCAAGATTGGTAGCATTATTTCTGTTACGTCTTTCTTGTATTCCTGATTGTTTTCAAATTTGAGTGAAGTCTGTGTCACTACAGACCCGGGACTGTACAACGCAGTGGACGCTTACGGCTGGCCCCCGGATCCATTCACTTGATTTGATATTTGTTTATTTGGTGCAATGTCTATTTTCTGTCTTTTCCGCAGGTTTATCATGTGGACGTATATTGTCGTCGCCCCTGTCCGTCCGGACGTCCACAATTGTTTGTGGACACTCTAACAGGTCACAATTCTTATCCGATTTTGACGAAACTTGAAATATAGGTTTATCTCCAAAAGACCTCGGCTGCTTTCGATATTGGCATGTATCGGATCGAAACGTCATGGATTATGGCCCCTGTTTGTACGAAAAATCACATTTTTAGCTTGTGGACCATATAGAGGTCACAATTTTTATCCGATTTTGTTGAAACTTGAAATGTAAGTTTATAACCCAAAGATCTCGATTCCTTTCGATATTCGCGCATATCGGACCATAACTTCCTGAATTATGGCCCCTGATTGTACGAAAAATCGAGTTTTTAGCTTGTGGACCCTATAAAGGTCATAATTTTTATCCGATTTGAAAAACCGTATTATTAAATCACCGTTACACCCTAAGGAAGACTGGTTTCGTATTTCGTGAAAATCAGTCCAAAATTGACAGACAAAATGGCCGCCGTTCGTTCTCAAATAGCGTAAAAATATGGTATATCAAGGTCGTGGACCCTATAGAGGTCACAATTTTTATCCTATTTTGTTGAAACTTGAAATGTAAGTTTATAACACAAAGATCTCAGTTCCTTTCGATATTCGCATATCGAATTGTAATTTCCTGAATTATGACCCTTGATTGTAGGAAAAATCACTTTCTTGTTAGCTTGTTCTCTATCCATCTCTCGAAAACATGGGCGTATCCTGCCTGGCAGCCGCTGGTTGTTTTACGTGTAGTGCGGTCCCCCTGCACTTACTATATAGAGTGACATGGACATGGTTTTTAATCTGGGTGGAGACCAGCGAACGACCATAATAATCTATACAATACCTTTTCTTCCCTCCTCAAAATCTGTCAAAAGAAACAAACATGTCATTTTGACATGGGTAATTTGACATGAATTTGACCGACATTATGTACTTTTAAAGTACTCAATATCATCGAAAGTCTTCGACATTGAAAACACGAATTATTTGTCAATTCAAATTGAAAACACGAATTATTTGTCAATTCAAATTGAAAACACGAATTATTTGCCAATTCAAATAAACACTGATGTTGTGATCCTACCGGGAAAAGATGGGCTCCTGATATCCAATATTTAAGACAAAATAAACAATTTACCAATGGTACAAGAATCGTGTACCATGATGCGTTTCATCGCCATTTGTAACAGGGGACTCAAAGAAAGAGGCTAGACATATTCCACAAGTCATG